AATTTGTGATAAAATTTATTGTAAAATAATTTATCATCATTTTTGGAATAATATTTTTTGAAAATTTTGTAAAATTATATTTTGTAAAATTATATTTTTGATTTTTTTTATTTTTTGAAAATATATATATATATATACATTAAATTTTGTAAAATTTATGTTTTTTCAACAAAATTTGTAAAATTTATTTTTTTCACAATTTATATTTAAAAATATGGATGAACTTACTAGGAAATTACCTGCTTTGAAATGTTGATTTTTGAAAATGTGCTGTTTGAGGTGCTGTTTCAAAATGTTGCTAAAAGTGTGGGGGGGGTCCTGGGTTTTTTTATAGAAAAAAGATGGGCAAGGTCTGGTCTAACTTATATACCCCCCATGTGTAGGTTGCTGCCACTATTTTGTACGCAACCCCAGGGGCCACATAGTTATGTTAATCAGGCAAGTGCTTCAAGTGATTTCGCGAGCGAGTGTTCGCACGTAAATACTCTAGGTGCCTTGACCTCGGGGAAAGCCCTGTTGATGTCTGTACGGGAACGCTTGCTCACGCAAAATACCGACTGGCAATTTGTTCCAGTTGGTTCATGCATGGCTAACTGTAGAATGCAACATTGTGTCAAACGAGGTCACACCGAGCGGCCTATCCCACACACAGGAAGATCCCCGTTCTCTTCTGCCGGCCTGAAGCGACCAGTGGTCACCTTCCCCAGGAAAGACCTCGCAGGGGCGATGCACAGGGCGATGCGAGGACTGGCTATGACTAATTTAGAGTTGGACCTCAATCTCAAAATTGTTGTTGCACACATTTACAGCAATGCTCTTCATCACTTCTATGCTGCCCACAATTGAAACACATATCCATTATTCAGCAAAGGTATGCTGTATATATTGGGACCGAGGATAACCTTTGCTCATTCGATAAATCTGACAAAGGCAACCTAGACTAAGCTCAAGGCACCAGGGCACCGGGGTTTATCCTTTGACTCCTTGAAATATGGTTGTATCCCCCGGTGTGAAAACGGACGGACACTGAAACCAGTAAGGTCGCAATTCAATTTGCCCAGTCCAAGGGGTAGGTCCTCCAGGGCCCGCGCTTGAAGTGCTCCACACTCTGATGCACTCGTCCCATACTGTTGCCTATCCGAAGGTCCGACGTGCACCTTCTTTTGACCAGCTTTGGCAAGCTCCACCAAGCTACCGGAGTTGATGTTTCTTTTGGGAGTGGGCTTTATGTACACCATGTTTGGCGTTCCTTGCGCAAAAAGTATAGCCAGCTCCGGTTGATGTTACCTTGGGGAATGGACTGACATGTGACACTCCGTACGACCTGTAACCCCAATAGACATGGAACAATTGGGTTTCGTCCCCTTGGTTCTGTTGTTCAATTTTAGACAGCCCCCCCCATGCCCATCCCCAAACGGCTGCGAAGTTTGACTGAACTTAACTTGGGTCGCTCCTAAGGGAGACGTAAATGTTTACAAAAACTGGTTCTTGACCCCCAACATGGGTTTGACAAGGGCTTCTCTCTCCTTTTCAGGAAGTGTGCCAGCCCTGCGTTTGAGTCAGCCTTGGGAGCAAGCTGGGTTAGGGTTTGAGTCGATCGGGGGAAGCCGGACATGGACTGACCACGCAAGGACCGCCTGGCGAGGTATGCTGGAAATAGGAGCTCAAGGCTATATCTAGTCGGGCCGAAAGAGGCTGCGACACAAGCTCAAGCGCAGCACTCAATAACTCAATACACGTTGGCTCGGTCTCTGGGACGCCCAACCCCCGAAATGGCAGGTTTCCGGAACCATTGGAACGCCCCTTTCGGAGGCTATGACACTTCAATCAACGGTTCAACGATTTTAATGGATACTGCATATTTCAATTCAAAGTCCACATTTAACTTTCACTTAACTGTTAACGGTTCATTCAAATCACCTACTTTAGAAAATACACACCAGATGCGACAGAAGGTTTGTACATTCATCATCCTAATTTCGTTGCTGTCAGTGTTGGTGAAATTACGAATGCTTCTAATCAGTACCTTCTGGCGTATGGACTTGTAGAACTAGACCCCAGTTATCCCGAAAGCGTGTGTGTCAAAGGTGATACACAAGGGTGATGTTGCTTGTGTCACTGTGTTGTGCCACGTATCCAGGCACTACTCTACTCGACAACTGAAACTCGTAAACCTACACTTACACACGCTAAACAAACATCTAAGCAACCCATTTCTAGCATGCAGCAATCGCGTTGCAGCATTGCCTCATGATCCATGTGCAATGCTAAGCGGCCAACGTGAAACTGCGCAATCGAGCCCGCGCATTCAACGCTGAGCTGCGCACTGAGCTGCGCACGCGCCGCTTTACAATCGCTTCGCCCTCGCTTGACAAGTTCAAAATTTATATGTATCTCTCTCTCTCTCTCTTTCTCTTTTCTCTCTCTCTCTCTCTGTCTCTTTGTTTTTCTCTGTCTCTTTCTCATTGTTTTTCTCTTTCTCTTTCCTTTTCTCTTTCTTTCTCTCTCTCTCTCTCTATCTCCCTCTCTCTCTCTCTCTCCCTTTCTTTCTTTCTTTCTTTCTTTCTTTCTTTCTTTCTTTCTTTCTCTTTCTCTTTATCTCTATTTCTCTGTCTCTGTCTCTCTCTCTGTCTCTTTTCTTCTCTCTCTCTCTCTCTCTCTCTGTCTCTTTCTTTTTCTCTGTCTCTTTCTCTTTGTTTTTCTCTTTCTCTTTCCTTTTCACTTTCTTTCTCTCTCTCCCTCTCTCTGACTCTCTCCCTTTCTTTCTTTCTCTTTATCTCCATTTCTCTGTCTCTGTCTCTCTCTCTCTCTCTGTCTCTTTTCTTCTCTCTCTCTCTCTCCTTCTCTTCTCTCTCTCTCTCTCTCTCTGGCTCTTTCTTTTTCTCTGTCTCTTTCTCTTTGTTGTTCTCTTTCTCGTTCCTTTTCTCTTTCTTTCTCTTTCTCTCTATCTCCCTCTCTCTCTCTCTCCCTTTCTTTCTTTCTTTCTTTTATTCTCTTTATCTCTATTTCTCTGTCTCTGTCTCTCTCTCTGTCTGATTTCTTCTCTCTCTCTCTCTCTCTTCTCTCTCTCTCTCTCTGTCTCTTTATTTTTCTCTGTCTCGTTCTCTTTGTTTTTCTCTTTCTCTTTCCTTTTATCTTTCTTTCCCTCTCTCTCTATCTCTCTATCTCCCTCTCTCTCTCTCTCTCCCTTTCTTTCTTTCTTTCATTATCCTTCTCTTTATCTCTATTTGTCTGTCTCTGTCTCTCTCTCTGTCTCTTTTCTTCTCTCTCTCTCTCTCTCTTTCTCTTTTCTCTCTCTCTCTCTCTCTGTCTCTTTCTTTTTCTCTGTCTCTTTCTTCTTGTTTTTCTCTTTCTCTTTCCTTTTCTCTTTCTTTCTCTCTCTCTCTCTCTATCTCCCTCTCTCTCTCTCTCTCTCTTTCTTTCTTTCTTTCTTTCATTATCTTTCTCTTTATCTCTATTTCTCTGTCTCTGTCTCTCTCTCTGTCTCTTTTCTTCTCTCTCTCTCTCTCTCTCTGTCTCTTTCTTTTTCTCTGTCTCTTTCTCTTTGTTTGTCTCTTTCTCTTTCCTTTTCACTTTCTTTCTCTCTCTCCCTCTCTCTGACTCTCTCCCTTTCTTTCTTTCTCTTTATCTCCTTTTCTCTGTCTCTGTTTCTCTCTCTCTCTCTCTGTCTCTTTTCTTCTCTCTCTCTCTCTCTCTCTCTCGTTCTCTTTTCTCTCTCTCTCTCTCTCCGGCTCTTCTTTTTTTTCCTCTGTCTCTTTCTCTTTGTTTTTCTCTTTCTCTTTCCTTTTCTCTTTCTTTCTCTCTCTCTCTATCTCCCTCTCTCTCTCCCTTTCTTTCTTTCTTTCTTTCTTTCTTTCTTTCTTTCTTTCTTTCTTTCTTTCTTTCTTTCTTTATTCTCTTTCTCTTTATCTCTATTTCTCTGTCTCTCTCTCTCTCTCTGTCTCTTTTCTTCTCTCTCTCTCTCTCTCTCTATCTTTGTCTCTCTCTCTCTCTCTTTCTCTGTCGCTGTCTCTTTATCGTTCTCTTTCCCGCTGCGAGGAGCGTTGCAGGGTGCAGCTTGGGCTCACTGAAAGCCAGGCCCCACTTGCCTTCACCCTTGTGGCCTCGCCATGGTTGTAGGAAAAGATGACGGACACCCGTTGATCGATAAACAGTCACAGCGTGCACAACGCAATCCTGAGACACCGTGGTAACGTGTACTAATCGCAGAATCATTGAAAAAGCATCCCCGCCTCCAAAAGAAAAACAATCCACTAGTTCTTAGCTGAAAGGAACGCTCCACGCTTGATGAAGCCGGGTTTAACACAGGCAGAATAAACCACACACAGTTCTCTTTACAAGTAGGACATTACCTACATGTTCGCCAGACTTATTGCAGCTTCACATGTAGTCAGTTCAAAGCACTAGCAAACTTCAGGCAAGCACTACAATAATCAAGCATCCCAATTCCACAAAAAATGGCTGCACCCTTACTGGCAAACCTCAGCACGTGACTGATCTTTCCTCGAACTCTTCAGCGTTCGACCGTTGCATTCGGCAGCAATGCTTACAGCCGAGACACCCGTTCAATGCCTCAATTTCTGGTGAAACCCCTCGCCAGGACACTCGTCGAGAAAAAAATGCAAATTCCCTGCTTCCAGCACAGCGTCCCCGCACGTGGGTGCATCAGCATCCGTTGAAAGTCAGCACGCGATCGGATTGAAACTCGACCGATGCCAGGCAAGTGCGCCGTGCTTGGACTGGAACATACGGGGCAGCAAGGGGAGAATAACAAGGCAGCGTTGCAGCGTGTCTACAGCGGCAAGTATTTCGGCTCTTGGGCCAACCTTCCCGCCCCTTCCGCACAGCCCACTTGACTTCACTTGCAATGGCCTCTGCAGCCTTCTGGGAGAGCCTTTAAGGAGCACGTATGGACAGCATCTCTTTAGTCGCAGTGGCGAGCGCGCCCAAGTATTCTCACAAACAAGGAGACTAGAGGCACACTCGCTTGTTCTAAAATGCTGCGCGTCTAAAGGGATGGGTGTGATGCGTTCGCCAACCTCAGCATCGGCCGATGGGCAGCACATGCGGCCGTAGTTCCGAAGGAGAAGTCGCTCAAACCTTAAACCTTGGCACAACAGTCAAAAGCCGGTGGGGGTGCACATCACCGACTCTCAGGTCACACTGTGCCAGGATGCGGCCACAAGGGGTGTCCTCTAAACTGTGTTCTTGTTGGGTTCCATCTTAATCTGTGGGGGAGTGGCAACATAGGCTCCATGTTGTGGTGTATGGGTGTTTTTTGGTTGCTGCAGAAAAAATGGGCCATGTTGGTGGTCGGTATCACCGCGTCTAAATGCTCTTGTGAACAGGGAGTCATGGCCAATTGTAAACGGACATCTCCCTAACACCTGTGGCGATTCTAAACTCTCATATCATCCAAAGACCGACTCAACAGTATCTCCCGGGAACAAGGCATCAACCGGCGCGACACATATGATAACTGTGCAAGCAATACTCATGTATAACGCAGGGTTGCTCGCGCCAATCTTGACTTGTTCACGTGAGAAACAGCCTCTAACCTCACCGCTCCCAACCGTTACACTACTGCATACATACCTGCATGCAACAAATGATGCAATACCTGTCGCCCATTATTAGCAATCCGGGTTTACCCGGTGCCCGTCTGCTTGTTCCAGGAAACATCTCGAGCCTCTCTTTGAGAGGATTTCTAAATGGGTGCGGATCTGTTTTGGGAATGAATTTGTTGATGCTTCTTCCGCTTCTCGTCACGGGCTGTATTTCACAGCATTTGTTACGACATGCACGCGTTTGCGCTAGCTAGTCAACATCAATAGTTTTTTCAACACCCTCTGTATCACCAGTTCCTCTCCCAACATCCTCTGCATCACCAATTCCTCTCCGGCAGGTGTATGTGTGTGTGTGTGTGTCTGTCGTTATATTTGTGCATGTGAGTAATCTATGTATGTGTGTATGTATGTCTGTATGTAATGTATGTAATTTGTGTAATGTATGTAATTTGCAATGCACGTACTGTGTGTAATGAATGTAGTGTATGTACTTTATGTAATGTATGTAATGCATGTTACGCGTGCAATTTGTATGTAATGTATGTGCGTGAGTGTCTGTCTGTCTGTCTGTCTGTCTGTCTGTCTGTCTGTCTGTCTGTCTGTCTGTCTGTCTGTCTCTGTCTGTCTGTCTGGCTGTCTGTCTGTCTGTCTGTCTGTCTGTCTCTGTCTGTCTGTCTGTCTGTCTGTCTCTGTCTGTCTGTCTGTCTGTCTGTCTGTCTGTCTGTCTGTCTGACTGTCTGTCTGTCTGTCTGTCTGTCTGTCTGTCTGTCTGTCTGTCCGTCTCTGTCTGTCTGTCTGTCTGTCTGTCTGTCTGTCCGTCTCTGTCTGTCTGTCTGTCTGTCTGTATGTATGTACGTATGTATGTATGTGTGTACGCATGTATGTATGTTGTATGTATATATGTACGTACGTATCTGCGTTAATTTCAGGAAAACACAATTTAAAAAAAAACAGCTTCTGAATAGTGGTCGCGTGACTTCTCTAGGAAGATTATGCATGAGATTTGTTGGTTTCAAGCTCCTGGCACGCTTCATCATTTTTATGATGGACTTAGGAGTCCATATCTTGGATGTTTGAGTAGAGTCCTCGGTTCTGTTCGTATCTTGCGATCGAAGCTACAAAGTCGATCATTGGCAAGCACCTGGCTCTCTCTTCTGCCACAATGTTTGGATCATTAATGTTCTGCATAGTGGACCAAGGTCCACAAAGTGGTGCAAGCCATACAACATCTGGCTTTTGCTCACGGATTATATCCAACACTATCTGACGTCTTTTTGGCGTCATGATGTCAAAACCAACTCGAACGTCGATCAGCGCTGACCTACCTTTACGGCTTTCAAGGCACAACATTACAGTAACTTGCTCGAGCGCTTCCAGCGAACACCTCCAAGACCTGGACCTTACCCTTGGTCACGCATTTTCAATTCGCAAACTGAGCTTCGCAGCTGGAATCCTCGGTGAGGAGGAAGCTGACGCTGGCTCCGCGGTCCGGTGTTGTCTTCTTGGTTATTCGCTTGTCTTTTTTTCTGGCTTGGCTTGCTCCACGAGATCTTCATGAAGATCATCGCCGGAGGATGGCAATTTAAATCCAGGTCTGGCCTGGTTTCATCTTTCCTCAACTTCGTGATGTTGACCTTGAGCAGTCTGGTTCCAAGGTCTATTCCAACCATGGTGACATCTGTGGATATTACCTTGCCTGTTAACCAACATTAACGCGCCCTCGCTCCAAGTGAATACTCTTTCGCCAATTACGATTGGCTTTGAGCTAAGGCGCAGGTGGCCTGTCTTGATGAAGTTGAGCGTGAGGGAGACTTGTCTCAGTCTCTTGATGAGACGCGCTGCGCTCTCGGCTCGGTTTGGTCATGGCGTCATGGGAGAGCAGGCACGCAACTTCCGTCTTCAACATTGGGGGCTACATGCCTGAGCTACGGGCTTGGCTACAACTACAGGTGCTTCCTCACCAACTTCGTTCTGGACTGAAACCTGAACAGCGTCAGCTACTGAGGACTACACAGGCCTTATGTCAAGACTGTTGTAGAAGGCCTCCCAGCTTTGTGTCATGAATGCTTGGTCTCCAACGACACATTTTGGCTGGAGATGAAATTGATCAACATAGTTCCGTAACAACAGAATAATGGTGACATCAGTGCTTCTCTCTACCTTCTGACAAGGTTCACATTCTGCTCAAACCTTGCCGTAGAGATCGTAGATCTCATTTGGCAAATGCAACGCGCGGGTCCTGAATTTATTTGAACTGTTCTGCTGACATGTGGCGGTTGCAAGTGAAGTTTCCTTAACTCTTCCGGTTTGGAAAGCCGTGCGTCAGTGCAAGTGGAAGTGTAACTGGTGGTTCTGTGGGAGCATCTGGCGATGTTGGGCATGCCGGCCTGGCGCTGGAATGGTCCTGTCTGCTGGTTTATCAATGTGAATTGGCTCTGCTGTAAGTTGTTGCCAGACAACTTGAAGGTTGTGGATCCTGTCCACAATTCTGGAGTTGTTCTCGGCGATGTTGCCTCCGTTCGCCAATTATTCTATGGAAGATAATGGTTCCTGGAATATTTTGCAAAATCGGAACTTGTCCTTGTTCTAGGATATTAATGACAGTCACCATACGCGGTGAAGTATTGAAAAACAATCGGAAAGCCCAGTCGGCCTTTGTGAGGTCTGACCATTCGCAAATGTGAACCCTGTGTTGCAGGGGGTATACTCATACTTCATCCGGCGCGGATACGGTTCTATTGCATTGATGCACCTGCACTGCGTGGACTTTGTGCAACCATTGTCAAGACTGATATGGGTTGGATTCTTGGCCTGCTTGATGATGGGCGCCATGAGTTTACTGGCCGAGCTTGGGCTCAATTCGGTGTTGTGTGCGGAATCATGTCGTAAGTCAAGCCATTTTGGGTGACCGTAGTTCTACTAGCATCAACTTCTACGGCTGATTCTGCCAGATATGCCATGTGTCTGGTTGGAATAATAATAAGAACTATTGTTCCAATCCGATACGTCAACAGGAGGCGGTGTGGCTTCGTGCGCCTCGGCATTCTGATTCACGGCGAAGGTCTTGGTGTTTCCTTTTCCTTTGTCGCCCTTGCCTGGATCTTTTGTTTTGTCCTTGGATTTATTGGAGAGTTTTCCTTCTCCTTTTTGGTACCAAGGTTGCTTTCCTTTCTTACCCTAGTAGGATTGATCGGTGGTGGTCTCATCGGCCATGTTGGCCTTGCCGCCTGATTGTGGTTTTCTAAAGAGTTGAAAGCGGCCTGTTTGGCGCGACACTTGCCCTTGCCTTTCTTACCTTTTCGCCCCTTGCCAGACATTAAAGGTCCGACATGGCAATCTGTTTATTCGTTTATCTACCTATCAGTCTATGTTCTCCCATCCACCTGGCCATGGAACCCACCACTAAAGCCTCTTGACGAGGAAACATGTGTTCCACCAGTTTCCGTGTCACCTCCCCCCCCAAAAAAAATCCTGCCCAGTGCTTGCCTTCTACCAAACCAATGGGCAGGTCCCGCAGGCGTCAGCCAGCCATGGCGCTTTTGGCCATGGCACTTTTGACACGGACAATAGGACCCAGTTTGACTGTGTGTTTGGAAGGCTTTCAACAACTGTCTAACACCGGGCAGGCATCATGGGTCCCATCATGACTCACAAGCCCTCACAGCTATGTACCTTGGGTGAGTCTCGGCACGCAGCAGCGCCTTGCAACATGCTGCGTCTCAGCCCGCAACAGCACTCTGCAGCACCATGCGACAGCACACTGCGCAACTCTTGAGTCTTGTTCAAGGAAAAGCACCCTGCACAAATTCAGCCCTGCAAGAGCAACTTTGAGTCTCGGCATGCAACAGCGCCCTGCTTGCATCAGTGCCTGCCTGCAGTTGGGCGCGGCGCCCTGCAACCTGCGCAGCTCGAGAAGAGTCTATCTCGAGGTCATGGGCTCTTGGGCCCGCAGGCCCGCCACGGGCCCGCGGGCCCACGGGCCACCAGCCCACGGGCCCGCCACGGGCCTGACGGGCCCGCAATGTAATGTAACAAAGTGAGATTTGACTTAAGGTTATGTTATGCCATGCAGTGTAAGCATGCATGTGTGTCATGTATGCATGTGTGTCATGTATGCATGTGTGTCATGTATGCGTGTGTGACATGTGTGCATGTGTGTCATGTATGTGTGTATGTGTGTAATGCACATATGTTTTGCATGTGTGTATGTATCGCGTGCAAAGAATGTATGTGTGTATGTATGTAATGCACATATGTACGCATGTTTATATGCGTGCGTCTCTCTGTCTGTCTTGCGACAGCAACTTGCCCAGAAGTTAGACCCCATAGCTTCCAGCTATCTGGGGAAAACATGCCCCCAAGCCCGCCCGGGGTTGCCTCCTCTTCGGACTCGCTGGCTAGCTCCGCCTCAAGGCTTCGGAGCCTCTCCTCCGCCGGCCTGCCGTGCTCCTCCTGCGCAGCAGGTTGATCTAAATGGTTTCGCTGGACACTTGGAAGCGCCCAAACTTTCGCGTGGTTGTGCCGAGACCTCCACAGAACTTGCCGGAAATTCATTGCAATATCCAAGCTGTCTTGAAACTTCCGCAAACTGGCTTTGCTGGCCTACAAGAATAGTACCCGCGCCAGATACTCACAGAAGACCCCTTCATGCGGCCGTTCTTCAGGTCGCGCTGTCTTGAAAAGGAAAAATCTTCCTGCGAAACAAATGATTGCTTTAGCATATCCGCCGACATCAGACGGCGTGTTGGGCATAAGAAATGCTCCTTACTTCCCTTCCCCTTATCCCTCCCCACACGCACGATTGCGGAGTATTGGGGGGGGGTTCCCAAGCTGGGGGTGCTTGATCTCAACGGAGAGCCAACAAAATCCAATGATGCCCAAACAATGGATGTAGAGACTGTGGATGTCCCTGGTAGTTGTGTGGTAGGAAGACTGTGTAGCGTGAGCTGCAAGGATTCATTTCCTCCTGTGTAGCGCAATGGCTACTGTGTAACATAGAGCCGGCAGAGCCGCGGGGCAGAAGCTTCTAAGACAAGCTGGACGAAAAAGATCTTGCGCTGTTGCTGGTTTCAGCGGGGATGCCTTGCTCCTTGAACATGCCATGCCGGAAACATTTGCCCCCCCAACCTCCCAGCCACGCTTCTTTTCAAGCAAACGTTGCAGCGCCTCGCGGCCTGAAACGGCACGCCTTCGGAAAGAAAACAGCTTCTTGCATCCGACTCTGAAAGAACGTCAAGTTGTGCCTCAGTCAACAAAGCATGGTAACGAGTGAAAAACATCATAAAAATCTTTGCCAAACGAATCACGCTTGGCAAGATGAGAGTTGAAAATCTCTTTCAGCTCTTTTTTCTGCAGCTTGCGCAACTCTTCAGAGCGGTGCTCAAAAATGTCCACAAGCTTGTCCGCCTGCCGCTAACTCACGGACTGGCACAATCGCAGCTCCCAGGCTTTAAGATGTTCTTGCTGCTGGCATGAAAGCGCACGCCCACGTTTCTTCAAAAGGCGACAAAGGGTAGTCCTCTCAGGCGCGCCGGAGCGACCAGCCCTTGCCTCCCCAGTCTTTGGCAACGAATCCAGGTCCAGTCGCTGTTTGTTGCTTGTTCCTGCAGGACAGACGCGCCAAAGCGTAGATGCAGAACAACATGCGTTTTTTAAGCAAACGGCATCGCCTGGCAGTTCCGTTGACGCGGAAAGCCATGGAAAGCGATCAGATTGCAGGCCTCTGACTTAGCCGAGAATGAGCAAGAGCTGCGCAGACTGGCAAGTTGTCTCGTGTCTACTCAACTTTTGCGATTTTCAAGCTGACAAAGTGTGTTCGCACCTTCGATCACGAACGTGCTGCGCATGCCACGAAATCTGTATTTGACCTTGCCGAAGTATCGCGCCCGCCACGAAAGCTCTGCCTAGCCTTGCGAAAGTGCTGCGCCTGCTATACAACATTTGTGACTGAACTTGCGAAAGTGCACTTGACCTTGCGAAAATGATGCGCCTGCCACAAAACCTGCACCCGACCGTGCGAAAGCGCTGCGTCTACCACGATATCTGTACCTGACCTTGCGAAAGTGCTGCATCTGTACTTGCGATAGCGCTGCGCCTGCTACGAAATCTGCACTTGACCTTGAGAACCTGCACCTGCATCGCAATGCCACGAAATCTGCACCTGACCTGTACCTGACCTTGCGAAAACGCTGCGCCTGCCACGAAATGTTACTTGACCTTGCGACAGCGTCGCGCCTGCCACGAAGTCTGTACGCGTTTCAAGGGTCGTCCTTTTGAAGTGTTTTGCTTGGAATGCGCGCATAAGCGTTTTCGCGAGCGTTGTTTTCGTTGGCCGTGTCGTGCATTCCGCTCTTTTTCACGACTGCAGATTTGCAAGAAATCGGTCGAAATCATTCTGGCGCTACAGCCCCTCGCTATTTTGCCGCGCCAGGCGCAGCATTTTGAGCATTTTGCAAGTCGCTGCAACGTCATTTTCCGTGACAGGCGCAGCACTTTAAGGCTTTTCGCGCAGATTTCGTGGCAGGCGCAGCAGATTGCTTGGCAGGCACAGCTTTCGTGGCAGACGCAGCACTTTGAGCGGGTCGAGCTGCTCTCGCTGCGGCGGGGTGCACATTTGGAGATCGCAAAGTGAACTCTCTGCGGACTTTGGGTGAACCCTCTGCGCGCTTTGGGGGGGTCAAGTCTCTCACTGTGGCGCGGCGCGCCTTTTGAGAACGCAAAGCGAACCCTCGGTGGGTCGAATCGCTTTGAGATCGCGCGATGGTGACGAAACACGTGACGAGGGATGTGACACAAAACGTGAGTAGGGTCGTGGCTAGAGACATGAGAAACACAGGAGATGACAGAGTTGCGATGTGAGGCGTGTTGAGTGATGAAAGATGTTATGAAAGTCAGGACGGGAGACATGGCCAGACTTGCAACGACAGACGGGACAAAGGGCGTGACCAAAGACGTGACCAGAGGCGTGACGATGGATGTGATGGATGTGACAAGAGACGTGCGAGGAGAGTGACGCAAGATCCACACATGCCGCTCGCGGGCGCGTCGCGCGTGTCTGTCTGTTGTTACACCAATTGCCCGCATCCAAAGGGCCATCTTGCGCGGACGTCCTCGACAGGTGATCCTTCATCTCTTCATGGAACAAGGTAAAGGTCGTACGGGAATTGCCGACCACAGATCCCTCGGACGGATTGAAACCCAGATTCAAATGTAGACAGGTTTCCGGCTCAATGTTGAGATCCAAAGTAGGCCCCAACCCTTTGATAGGTTCTCTTTTGGACCTGCCATCTTGCTGCGCCTGCCACGAAATCTGTGAAGGTGCTTCGCCTGCCACGAAATCTGTACCTGACCTTGCGAAAATGCTGCGCCTGCCACGAAATGTTACTTGACCTTGCGACAGTGTCGCGCCTGCCACGAAGTCTGTACGCGTTTCAAGGGTCGTCGTTTTGAAATGCTTTGCTTGGAGCGCGCGCGCAAGCGTTTCCTCGCGCGTTGTTTTCGTTGGCCGTGTCGTACATTCCGCTCGTTTTCACGACTGCGGATTTGCAAGAAATCGGTCGGAATCATTCTGGCGCTACAGCCCCGCGCTATTTTGCCGCGCGCGATGCGGGAGTCTTGAATTTTGATTTCGTGGCAGGCAGCATTTTGAGCGTTTTGCAAGTCGCTGCAACGTCATTTTCCGTGACAGGCACAGCACTTTAAGTCTTTTCGCACAGATTTCGTGGCAGGCGCAGCAGATTTCTTGGCAGGCGCAGTACTTTCAAGCTTGCGCGCAGATTTCGTGGCAGACGCAGCACTTTGAGCGGGTCGAGTCGCTCTCGCTGAGGCGGGTTGCACATTTGGAGATCGCACAGTGAACTCTCTGCGCTTTGGGCGGGTCCATCGCTCTCGCTGCGGCGGCTCACAGTTTGAGATCGCAAAGTGAACCTTCTGTGCACTTTGGGTGGGTCGAGTCGCGCTCTCTGTGGCGCGGCGCGCAGTTTGAGATCGCAAAGTGAGTGGGTTCAAATCGCTCTTACTGCGGCGCGGCACACCTTTTGAGAACGCAAACTGAACCCTCGGTGGGTCGAATTGCCTGATACCGAGATGGTGACGAAACACGCGACGAGAGATGCGACACAAAACGTGAGTAGGGTCGTGGCTAGAGACATGAGAAACACAGGAGATGACAGAGTTGCGATGCGAGGCGCGTCGAGTGATGAAAGATGTGATGAAAGTCATGGCAGGACGAGTGACGTGGCCAGACTTGCAACGACAGACGGGACAAAGGACGTGACCAAAGACGTGACCAGAGGCGTGACGATGGATGTGATGGATGTGACAAGAGACGTGCGAGGAGAGTTGCGACAAGAGACGCAAGATACGTAACCAGAGACGTGACTGTTGCGTCAGGCACTGAGACTGCGACTGACCACACATGCCGCTCGCGGGCGCGTCGCGCGTGTCTGTCTGTTGTTACACCAATTGCCCGCATCCAAAGGGCCATCTTGCGCGGACGTCCTCGACCCTTCATCTCTTCATGGAACAAGGTAAAGGTCGCGCGGGAACTGCTCCATATTCAATTCCAGACAGGTTTCCGGCTCAATGTTGAGATCCAAAGTAGGCCCCAACCCTTTGATCGGTTTTCTTTTGGACCTGCCATCTTGAAATCGTCCACACACACCACCAGAACAAGTTGTGGCTCCGCGTGGGTGTGCGCAGATGGCCACTCTTCACCGATAGGCTTGACGCCAACAGCGCGCACAGCGCTGCTCCCAAAATGTTCCGGCATCAGGATGACCATGCAATGCCTTCACCAAGAGCACCACAGGTCTTTTGAACTTGTTTTAAACAGTTCCTATTTCTCATCGAACTTAGAGTCGGCAGAAAGCTCGATCCAACAGATGGTACCACGTAGCTCAGCCTGAATGTAAGCCTGAACGGCATCTGCTATTTGCGCATCCCATCCCTTAAGACAGCCAAGAAAGTCAGCCCATCTGGAAGCTTTGAATCTGGAAGCTTTGAAAGTTGCAGGTGAGTTGAAATAATGCCGCGTCCGACGTTTTGATCTGGTTCCCCAACACTGTATACAGCACCACCTATGTATTTTCTCTGCGCTCTGGCCACATGAACTTCCTCTCCCTTATCGCGAACAACATCTGGTATTGACACATCTCGGACAGGTCGATGAGGCCTTGCCACTCCTTCTTCATGGCTTCCATCGCCTTAGCGTTGGTCAGCATCTCGGCCCTTCCAAGAGGCCTGGACACCATAGCACTGAGAAGACGAGATACTTTCGTCGCCTTCTCTCTGTGCTCGTCAACGGCTGACACATAACAACCTCGGAAAGTCATCTTTGGAACTTCCGACTTTGGCAACACTTACCTGATTCTCTCGCTGCCAAATCTTCCCAACTCAATTCGTCAAGATCATCTGCTCCCGCCTCGGCGCTATCATTTTCCTGGTCCTTAGGG